GACAACGGATCATTTGCTCGATTTTTTTACATAACTACTCAGAATCGGACCTGGGCCTCCTGTGCATGTGAATAAAATGTAACATCTTATGACCGCGCTTTCGTCACATACACGTACTCAATATGATGATTATTGTAATTGCCATGTTTAATATAATTTTTAATTCAACAATCATTTTTTTTTTTGTAATTTTAATATTTAACTAAAAATTACATTAACTACATAATTATAATTTATCATATTTAAATTATTTACTTATCATAAGCTCAATTTATCTTAATATATATACTTTTAATTTTTTTTATATTATATAAATAATACATGTAAAATTCATATAATATTTTAATTATTTATTTTATTTATATATATATATAATTAGTCAGTAAAATAAAATGTACGTAGTTCAAATAATATAAATAAAATTTATATACTTGATGTTCGTCTTACGTAATTTAATTTTTGTATTTTTAATTTTTAAATACATCATAAATTTATATAGTTACATTACTATACCTATTTAATGAATTATTTCACTCAATATATATAAAATAATTTATGTATTTAATCTTTGTACTTGTGTTACATTTTTTTTTTTTTGAATTATAATTAAACATGAATACCATTTTTTACATTGTAATTAAAAAAAAAGTTTAACTTTTATATCCCATTAATGCAACGTGAATGAAATAATTACGAGATTATAAATTCTCATACTTTATTAAATTAGGATTGCCGAGTCGTACTGAAATTTACTAACTTGCAATTGCGTGTGTATTAGTATCGTAATTATGATTAAATTAAGTTTAATTATAATAAATTATAATGTACTAACAAAAATTTGTTACTTAAAAAGTAATGATAATATGCCAAAAACCCGACTAAGGTTTTTAGATTAAAAATTTAATATCTTCCCGAAAGTTCTGCCAACGGCTAAACCTCCCCCCTCCCCCCCTCTCTTCAAACATCGAACGGTTCTTCGTGCCGCCAGAACCAGGGAGAAACAGTCACTCTACGATCAAGCACCTTCTATATCTATTATGGTGAATGTTAATAAGCAGGTATCTCTCTCTCAGTTTTCAGTTATCATCCCTTTGTTTGGCTGCCGATAAACTGAAGGAAAATGAAGAGAAGAGATCTGAAAAAGGGTATGTTTTTTGTCTCTCTGTTTCGTTTCTCCCCTCTGGCATTTCTTCACAACCGAAAAGGCTTAGTTGTTGAGCTTGCGTAAATTGATATTATTTGTTGATGGTTTCGTTTGTCTTACATACATTTAAGGTGTAATATGTAAATTTCTTGCTATTTGTGAAAGATGGTACATCCTCCAATGAACTCAACTTAGAGCTAGGGTTTTGGCACTTTTTGTTATCATATTATTTAGGTGTTTTCATTTGAAAACAAGGATAAAACTGATTTGGATTTAGTTTACTTTAGCTTCCGCTTTCGTTGTTCAAGACGGCGCAAGGGCATCCATGGCAATTACTCTCGTTCCTTTTATTTATAATATGTTTGGTTGCTGGGAAAATGTTAGAGAACAATATGAGAGAGTTGAGTTTATGAAATTATAGCTAACGACTTTACTTGAGATTGGTGGAACAATTTACTTTTTTGGGTCCTTGATGGAACAGTTGCTTGCATATACATACGTAATATTTTGAAGTGGATTTCATTTGTTTGGTTGTTTGAAGTGGAAGCTAGGATCTAGTAAATGGTCAATTTTGTTTTTTTTTTCTCTTGTTTTGTTTGTTTTTTCTCTCGAAGTGGAAGCTAGGATCTAGTAGGGACTTTACTTGAGTTGTTTTT